GCTGACATCCTCCTTGTTGAGTTTGAATAACTATGCATTGCTTTTAATTTGAGTTTGTTTAGTAAAGCGTCTTAATATATAGCAGTTTGTAGCACCTCAAGAAGCCCACAGGATGGCAGCAAAGCATCATCTATTAATCCCTTATTGTTCAATATCTGCAATGTGGGACAAGTTGTTTATGTTGGATAATATGAAGGAGATGCCTTAAATGACCACTTTTAAAAAAATGGCTCTGGTTAAAGGTTAAAGGTTAAGGTACTTGGTGAAATATTAAAACATAATCACAACATCTCTTTAGCCAAGAGCCTGATGAATCAAGTGTAGTCATCGAGAGAAAGGAGAAGTATTCAGAACTGTCAGCCACATGCACACAGGCCTGGTGGAAAGTATAGACCCTCAATGACCCTCAAAGACCTATCTGTGCTGGAGGCAGGGCAGGGGAGCTTCTGGCTCAGAAGGATGGTTCAAGGTGTGGGAGAAAGGATCCTAAGGCAGGTTGCAGGGAGTGGTAGGGAGACGTCCCTGTACCACTGCTCCCCCACCTCCAGATGTTTCAGGTAGGAGCGAAACATCAGTGATGACCCTTCAACCTGCATGATGGCACCGACGACTTGTCGAGGTGCAACGAGGCAGAGAGCAGGTGGAGCCACCTGTATTAACTTCTATTCATTTGCTCCTTAAAGGCTTTCCTCTGACACAATTTATTCATGAACAGACTTCAACTCAAACAAGATTAGAACAACTACAAAGACAGAAATCATCATGAAATGTATTTTATCTAAAATGTGATATCTTTATTTATTTATCATGTTGTGTGCCTCTTACATGGAGACCACCAGGTGGCGATAAAGATGTTTTGAACTGTCACACAACTGTTGTTTTTTTTACTCATTTAAGTCCAGATAATCACCTACAGAAATCTGAGTCAAAAAACTCACATGACATATCATCAAATGTATAAAAGGGAGTTACTAAAAACATCATGTTGCCCTGAGGTAAAATTCTAATGGATTCACATGAGGCCACACCAGCATACTGGGTTGCAATAGTATATTTTATTAGTAAGCAAGTCAGATTATCTGAATATATTTTCCATGAATTATATTTTGTGATACATTTAAATTCAAATATTATAGCTGCACATATTATGATTTCATGTAGGATATGAATCTGCATCTTCACAGGAGGCACTGGGAGCTGATGAGAGTGAGGGTATTTTTATACACAACGTATTTGATTGCTCAATAAATACACATTTTAGACGAGCCATTTGTATTCTGTGGGGTCGGGGCCTCAAAGTTGAGAAAGTCTGCCACAGGGGGTTAAGAATAGAAAGCTGTTAAATGAACCAAATATTCATGAAGATTCACACAGACTTAAGATAATAATGGAGTATTTATTTACTATTTGATAGGTCTATATAATCTTGGACATTATCTTTTTGTGTATCTTTTGTTGTAAATCTGTTTATTATGAAGTTTCTTCAGAAAAAAAAGAAAAGTATTCAGAATCTTGTTGGGAAAAATGTATCAGTGATGTAAAAGTGTTTGTTGTTAGAGAAATCCACATGACACAAAACTTTCAGGATCAGCTGTAATACCGGCAAGGAAGGGTGAAATTCCAGTTTTTCTCAGACATTTAAAATGACACTCGTTGACCTCAGGGTGGCACTGTAAGATCAAGTTGATGTTTTTGTTAAATTCTTCAAAAGTAGTTTGGCTTGAAGTCTCAATTTTTCCTGCATTTTTATATCTTAATTTGTTCTGGTCTAGTTATGTGATACATTCTGCAGCATTTTCTCCAAATCCCTTTCTGACAGCTCGCCCTGGATCAGTCAGGACAGTCGACATGCTTTGCTGAGATAAAGTCAAATCAAAACTTCCAAACTTGAGAAGTCTCAATAAATAACCAATGCGTCCTACAGATCAGATCTTCTAAGCATATCGTGTGACTTGAGTCTAAGTTGACCTCTCTGCACCAATCCTTTCAGAAAGCCTTCATCTTAGAAGAGACATTTTTAAACACCTCATGACACTTCCATTCATTCAAACACTGATTGTGGAGGCTGCTGAGTGAATGACCTAACTATCAGTACCACTGGATCACATGCATTCACACGCCACTGGTGTAGCAGCAGGAGCCATTTGGGGTCGTTCAGTGTCTTTGCCCAAGGACACTTTGACATGTGAGACATCTGAGCCACAGCTGCCCCCCAAACATGAGGCCTGGACCTGTGTTAGGTCCAGTTATTGTCCTAAGCCTGTAGGACTTAAAGATTGTTTTACCTCGATTAAAGGTGTTTAGTTTTTGTAATCATATGTAAAGGCAGCTCTAAATCTCAAAAACTGTGGACTTTGATATTGAACATAGCGTAATTAAGTTTGACAGAACTGAAGATAGAATCTTATTGCATACTGACGAGCAGGAAAAAACTTAATGTGAAATTAAAACAAAGTGTGGGTTGAATTGTGCTCACACTGACTTAAATCATTTGTAAGATACAGCGTATCAATATACGTACCAATCACCCAAAAGTTGCCAGGAAATAAAAGGTTTCTGATCCGAACACACAAGGGTATTCCATGGGATGTGACAAAATCTTCTTTCCTCCTCAAATGACAGAAATGCGCCATGTCTTTGGTTGTTTTTATTCTTTATGGCAAGAATGTTATGGGAGGTTTTGGTCCTTCAACACTTCCAAGGGTAGACACAACCAGCAACATCATTACTACAGTGTTGAGGAATTAAATAAATGTCCAGGTCCATAGTTGTAACCAGAATTATTTGTATTTTTACAAATGAAATTTAAATCTCCTTTTCCCTCACACTGAGTAAACAACTCAAGAGGACCAGAGACAATTACTGAAAGACATGAAGACTTTAACTATGAAGCAGCTTTTTCTGATTCAAGTTTATTCCTATATATCACATTTAAAACAACCTCAGCTGACCAAAGTGCTTCACAGGTTAAAAAACAAACAAACACATTTAATAGGAGTGTAATGAACTTTAAAAAATGCCAAACTCAACTTGTATTAAAAGCCAACATGAAGAGGTGTGTCTTCAGCAGTGATTAACAATTTTTAATGTTTGATTCATTTCTGATGTTCACAGGTGTAGTGCAGGTTATAGGTATACAGGTATAGAATGCACACCAACAGAATTTTGAGTTTCCATAGGGAACCCACTTGTAATTCCCCTCTGACTCACAGTATTCAGTACCAGCTGCATTTTTTCTCCTTGGACTCTTGAAAGATGACCCGCCCTACTCTGTCTCAGTAAGCATTGTTCCCTTTTTTTTCTGGCAACAAAAGGAACATTGAATACATATTATAATACGATTATTTATTTGAAAATGTAAATGACTGATAACTTGAATTGCAAAATTTAAGTATACTAGTGCATTGCTTTGTAACGCATAACCCCCAAATATGGTTAGGATGCATAACTAATCTCAGTCTGCTCCTCTTCTGTGGATTATGTACATTTCACAACAATCCCAACTCCCTCAAATCAAGCAGCGGAATTTGAGTTTCAATGTGCAGATACAAAAGGCCCATTTAATAAGTGAAGTGTATTTCCAAGGTTGGTCTTACATGTCACTGATTATAACAGAGGCCAGTATTCTCTGGACGGGCAACTTAAAAAAACAAATTGTGTGAAAAGAGTATACCTAGTTCTTCAGGAATACACCCCTGTACAGGACAACATAGAGGACGAGGGCTGGGCAATTAATGGAAAATGAATGGAAATCGACATTCAGAAACTCTAACCAACGTAATCTTGTTGATTATTTGGATTATTTTCAGGGCAGAGTCACAAGGCGACACGTCCAATCCGCGACATGGAAGCAATTCCATCAGTTTTCTTTAGGGAAGACAACACCGAACAAAAAGAAGTCAAATGTAAACACTAAGGAAAAACTGTTTACAAGAAATGAAAGTTATTTATTTTCTTCTGATTCAGAGAAGTTAATTTCTACTTTAAAACTAAAATGTGTCGTTTTCATTTCAAGCGATACTTTGATTTCATTTTGAAATATTCAGTAAATAACCACAAAACAGTTCATCAGATATACACTCTGTCCTTAGAAAACAGCTTTAAAGGCTTTATATGTGATTTTTTGATCCAGCAGATGTCGCCCTTGAGCACCAGCATGAAACCAAAACAACTCGCGCTGCATTGTTGTGTTAGCATGCTAATGCTAGCGACCTTTATTATGCTCGTATCTTCACACTGCATGTAAATTTACCTGAAATGAGCGTGATCTAGAAACACAGTTAAGCAGTGAGTACAGTATGTTATTCTTCTTTTCTCTAGTCCCTCAATTAAACAACTTTTATACAAGAGGGGAGGAGTCAGCCGGCCGTCCTGGCGATGTAAACAAAGTGAAGATAGGACTCTGAAAACTCTGAAAACATCACAGACAGTGGGACTCGGGTGTTACACCCATTGTAGACAGTCATGACTCACAGAGTTATTTTCAGAGGATATACTTGATTTATATTACATTTAAGTGTGAAAAATCACATATAATAGACAAGCATATTTACAGTAGAGACCTCGTCAGTAAACTATGAGGGCAGAAACCAAAAAAACAAATAATTGTTCATTAATCGTAATCGAGGTAAAATGTTCCATTAATCGTGATATTGATTTGAGGTCATGTCGCCCAGTCCTCTATAGGACAGACCTATACTAAAGCACATACACTTTAAAGCAAAGCTGACTGCATCAGAAAAAACAGCTTCATTTGATTAACATCAAAAACAATGTTGGAGTAAAACATTTTTCAAATTACTTTAGCTCCTGTCCTAAACCCTGACTTTCCCTCTCCGTGTATGACGAGCAGCTCCGTGACAGGCCATTATAAAAAATAAAAAAACCCTTTAAACCTCCTGGTTGGATGTAGTTTCTTGGCCCACCCTGTTACACCCACCAACAACATGTTAATGTGCGCCCAAGATTGGTTGGTTTTCATATTTCCAACTTCACCTGAACGCAGCGGGAGACAGGAGGTGGAGGCTGAACAACACGGAGAGAGGAGGGAGGAGGACAGATAGCTAGAGAGCTGTGAGCCTGTTTACCCGCAACTCCCCGATTTTATTTTAGGACATTTGCGCCACATATGACCCACACTTTAATCATCTTACTTCTCTTAACATGTGACTTCTTTAGCATTTCGTCGTATGATTCAAAAGATGACAGAAATGCGTGCCCGTGGTTAGCTCGGGTACCGTGAAGACAAAAGGGCATCTCCATAATCTCCGGATGAGACTTTCTGTGTTTGTGAACCAGCACCAGTCAGAACCGACCAACCGGTCCTGGTTACCGTGAAATCAGCGGGACAGCAACCGAGCAGCCTGAAAACATGAAGTTCACAGAGCATCTCTCGGCTCACATCACCCCGGAGTGGAGGAAACAGTACATCCAGTATGAGGTGAGTTAGCTTAAACCTTACCTCTGCTAGCCGCACAGCTAGCTCACTCACTGACTGACTAACCGGGGAGATAGTTTCCAGTTTTAAATCGGTTATTGTTTTTATCAGAACTGTTTTGATAGAGTAAGAGATGGCGTCCCTTTCTCTCCCCCCCCCCCCCCTGTCGTTATATAACAGGAAGAGAGGAAGTACTTCATCGCAAGGCCTGTAAATCAAGCAGCACACTTAACTGTCACCAGCTAGCAAACTAGACTAGCTGAACAGGTTTGTTTAGTAGCTGTCGGTCACCAGCTCCATTCATCCTACTGTGAAGACCCGGCCTGCACACCTCAGGGTCTCTCCTCTATAAGCTGCTTGGACTGTGTGTTAGGAGACAGACACAAGGCATTTGTCTGAGTCATCATTTATTTCTCTTGTTAACCATTCTGTCGCTCCCCAAATGCTGACTCAGCTTCAGGATCAGGATCAGGATCAGGGTGGACGGGGTCACACGATGAAGGAGCTGCTGATGTTTCTATCTGCAATCTTTGAACTCGTAGACAGCTGTTCAAACATGATAATGTAACTGTTATCTTTGTGGGGGCTTGTATGACACACACACATGGCTGACGATGTAAACAAATAGTTCAGAGGCAGCCTTCGCTTTTTTTTTACCTGTAAGTGTTGCATGGTTGTGCCTCTCACCAGTGGTGTAGTGGTGCCTAAAGAAGTGGGTATACTCTCTTTTTATGTGACCTATCCAGCAGATGATAATCAGCCTCTGTTATAAACAGTGACATGTAAGACTGCTTTTGAATATTTAGTTCGAGACAGCGTCGGGAAAGTCATCCCTTTGCCATCCTAGGAAAGAAAATTGCAGCATATCACGGATATTGTCAAATCAATCATTGGTGTGAATCAGAGGGGATTTAGAAGTGGGTATACCCTATGGAGACAGAAAAACAAGTGGGTATACTCCGTATAGCTGCGGATACCCTGCACTAAACTCCTGCCTATCACATTTGTCAAGGTTATATATCTAATTTGATTGTAGTGATACAGTGATTTATATATTTATTTATTTTTAGCAGAGAATGGTGCAATCTGAGAGAGCAGAAGCTTTTATAAAGTTCTTCAAGAAAATATTTCAACACTACTAAGTGCCATACCAAACAAAGCTGGTCTATATGCTGGACAGATCCATCACCAGTAACACTAATCACTTTGTGTTTTGTTTCAATGTGAAAGACAACTCTCTAACGCCTTATCAATTGGCTAATTTTGTTTATTTGGTCACCTGTCACACCTACTGTACGAGCTGTGAAGGACAGCAGTTAACTGTACATTGGTATGCCTGAAAAAGTTTTTGAACGAAGCAAAACAAACCACAACATTAGAGATGGGAATATCGGTTTTGGGTCCGATGACTTGACTTATTTTACAAATCGGATATAGGAATGACGGTGCCATTCCACGTCACCGATCAAGAGAGACGGTTTAGCACTCACACAGTCTCACTTTGAAGACATTCAGACTGAACTGTAAGAAGTGCCCACAAATCGTCTCCATGACAACGTTAAGACAAGATGGAACAGCTCCTTCTATATGATCAAAAGTATAATTCTTACACTTCAGTTTAAACCATATAATTTGAAAACCTGACAGCTTTTGCTGCTTCCTGTTTATATGCAACCAGCAAAAAAGTCAAATACATTCCCTTGGACTACTTTAAATTTTTAAGCATTTGTATTTTGTTTTTTTGCTCTTTTAATAAGAATTGCATGGCTGGGTTTACTACAGCTGTGTAGACACATGATACCCACATGATACCAACAACAACAATTACACTATTTCATTATGGTTAAAATATCGGTTTCAGTATCGGACTCTGATTGGAACTGCAAAAATGTAGATCTTTTCATCTCTACACAACTTAAGGCTGCAAATAAGATAAGATAAGATCATTCTTTATTGATCCCCAGTCGGGAAAATTCAAGTGTTGTAGCAGTAAAAGACAAGAAGAAGAGCATGCGTATGAGTACAAATAAATAAGAATATATAGGAATGTATTTACAGCTATTATAAGCAAGTATTAAGTAAACTATACACCAATTAAGAAGTTAAATATACACTAAACACTATGCGTTGAGACATATGTGATGAAGGCAGACCGTAGGACCCACTGCTGCTTTACAGTCTTATGGCAGTGGGCACAAAGGAGCGCCTGAAGCGCTCTGTTTTGCACCTGGGGGGGATTAGACGAAGGCTGAAGGAACTGCCCATCTGCCACAGCTCTTCATGTAGAGGGTGAGAGGAGTTATCCAGGATGGATATGATTTTGTCCTTCATCCTCCTCTCACCCACTGTCTCCAAACTGTCCAGTTCCTGTCCCACCACAGAGCGGGCCTTCCTCACCAGCTTGTTCAGCCTGTTTGCCTCACCAGTCTTGATACCACCCCACCAGCACGCCACAGCAAAGAAGAGGGCACTGGCCACCACAGACTGGTAGAAGGTCTTCAGGAGTCTGTTGCAGACACTGAACGATCTGAGTCTCCTCAGGAAGAACATCCTGCTCTGTCCCTTCCTGAAGAGGGCGTCAGAGATGTGAGACCAGTCCAGTTTATTGTTGATGTGGACCCCAAGGTACTTCCACTCTCTCTACTTCATCCCCCTGGATGATGACTAGGGCAGGGGGCCTCCTCTTCCTCCGGTAGTCCACTACCACCTTCTTGGTCTTGCTGATGTTGAACTTCAGGTGGTTGCTTTCGCATGTCCTATAGTCAATAATCAGGACAATTCATGATCAAAGACAGTTAAGACAGTTTATGTACAAACTTAGGTGCCAAGTTTGGTGCATGTGTGCCTGGTTAGCAGAACTTTATGCATTTACTTTGTTAAAATACCTTTTGATGCGCTGAAAGGGGTCAGCAGGAAGTAGAAAATAAATCATAAATAAATCAGCTTATCCTCTTCGAACTTCATCTGGTTATTGTGGAGCTGATAGCCTGATCTAAAGCATGATGTCATGGCAACAAGAAGTTAGTCACATATAGTATGGAATTGGATTTGTGTAGTCTGCATGATTTATAACAGCATAAGTTATAATATGTGAATGTTCCATGTTTGTGCCATGTTTGACACAAGGCGGTGTCCAGCAGAGATGAGGATTCGGCCGGTTTACATTTTCTCCACTTTTCTGTCAACTATTTCCACAACACTTTAATGTGGACTGGTTTCTTTCAGCTCTTGCAGTGTTTGGATAAACACAAGATGAGGCTTGTTGTTCCACACAGCTGTGAATCTGACCCTTGGCCCTGTTAGTTTTAGTCCTGGGAAGATCTGGAACAAAGGCCTGTGAGGTTTGCAGAGCAGTGCTGACTAGGGTTGTAACATGCATGTCATGTTTTCACATGGCAGCTGTGTTTAGTTCAGAAAGTAAGCAGGCAGTAGAAAAAACAGAAGTGTATGCTGAGCTGTCATAATGTGATGTTTGCTGAGACAAAATGTCAGCTCTTTTATTGTCATGTCTGGGTAAAGCCTGACTTATACTTCTGTGTCGAATCTACACCATAGCATATGCTGTATTGGCGCAGCCCTGTACTCAAGCAGAAGACTACTTACGAAGCCTGATGTGCATCCCACAAAAACTAAAGTAAGCATTGAAACAACGCAGACCACAAGCCCTGAGATTGGTCCGCTGGAAAGCATTTTATTTCCAGCATTTGCAACATTCGCCCTTCCTCTGTCTCAACTAATTCAGCACTTCCTTCCATTTTTTTCTTTTTCGCAATAGTTGTAGAATAACCAACTGCTGCTCAATATTTATTATCTCAACTCCAACATAACACTTATTTTCAGTCGCTATGGTTTCCTGTACATGAAGAAGCAGAGAATGTGGCGTAACTGGAAACTGGCGATTTAACTAGTCTGGCGCGATGGGGGGCGTAGCTACTGCATAGATTTCAAGCAGAAGTATAAATCAGGCTTAAGGTTGTCAAAACATCTGATACTCTCTGATACTTTTCGGTGCTGTTTAATACCACCTTCTGAAAAAAATGCAATCTCCACGTCCACACCTAAACGTGCAGAAGTAGGTAGATTTCAGTCTTAATGCAGCAGAAGTCCCATTGGATCCTGCCCGCTGTGTGTGTCTGCTCGCTGTCACACCTGTAACCCTCAAACAGCCATGACCCAGACTGACTCTTCAAACTCACAAGTCATCAAAAGCCAATGTTTGAAGTCCTTTTTACATCTAGTAATGATGCACAAGCGATGTGTATTTTGCATATTAAGATGGACAGAGCAACAGGAAGCAAAGCCAAAATATGTAGAGCTCCTGCCAACCCCGCCTCCTCTATGTTAACAGATAGGACTACAAAATCAATAGTACCAGTTTTGGGTGCTCAGGAGTTAATTTTTCACTGCTGTGGTATCGCTGTTATCGTGACAACCCTAAGTCTGAGCTGTTATAAGCCTGACATTTTTAATTACTGCTACTATTTTCAGCAATGAGTATCGACCATTGTGCTTGTGCTGCTTTTTTCCTGATATTTTTCTGCTTAATGTGAGAGATATCATGATTCAGTCTGGAAAGCAGAACCCACTCAGACTTTGTTTGCTCAGAAACAGACTGGCTGCATTTCCTTATAATAACTTATGAGGAAACTGCTTTATTTAGAAAGATTCCTAGTGTGACTTCCAGACTGGAAGTGTGAGATATAAATGCAAAAAATAATATAATTGTTTCTCTTTATTACTCATCGACTAGCTAGAAACACTTTGTGTCTGCATGTGTGTAGCACTAAGTCAGGGGCTTGGATATTTTTCTCAGCCAAACACTGGTAGCAGATTTTCCTCCACTGGTCAATGGCATGCTGTGATATTTTCTCTAACTATTTACTTTTTTCTATTTTTCTAAAATCAAGTCCTATATGTTACTCACACAAGCCCCCCTGATTCGTACCTCTTTGTCTCACTGCTGTCTTGTGCTGTTTCATTCTGTAAGCCAGTACTGATCTCAG